CTAAAAATAATATAAATTCAACCATATTAAACTATTAATAATAATCTAAAATTTACCCATAAGCTAGATACTTTTTAGTCTCATATTTATTCTGAATATAATCTATCCATCTTTTCCAAACCGAGATATATCTTTCTTGTGAATAGTCCTTCAAATAAGCGGAAATTTTTGCCATTTCTGCTAAATTAGACACCTTGAGTATCCATTCTTCCATAGTAGCAAAGAATCTTTCTTCCAATATTGCCCACCAATAATCTTGCAGCTGTTATAAGATTCAACATCAAATTAATTTCTTTAACATCAAAATCTACAATAACACCTAACAAAAATAATTGTGGGGTAAACTTTATCTTTCTCTTAAAAATCTTTTGAATGTTCCACCAAATCTTAATCCAAAAAGCTTTTATATTTCTACAAGTCTTATTTTCTATATGAAAATAAGTTGCATCTAAGCTTCCATATCTCCAACATTTGGGCTGTAAATTAGGATACATACAGGATAGCTTTTGAGGATCCAAATGCCACCTATAAAACATTTTATAAAAATTTTCTCTTAAATTTTGTGCTTGAGTAAATTTTACATTTCTAACCCAAATTGTCTCCCATGTGTCCAATAGAATTGGCTCTTGAATATTTTGAGCCCATTTTACCATACAGTCTTTAACTAACTCCATTTCAGAATCCAATTCTATTAAAACATTATAAATTCTCTTTATATGTGCTCGAGTTTGATCTTTAATCTGTTTTACAAAATTCACATCCCCTAAAGTAATACCAACCTTTTGATCTAAACTCCACCTAACTAACAATTGATTATACTGAAACCAAGAGTGTACAATATTTTCTTGCTTCAACTCAGCTAAAGATTTTAATTGCCAATCCTTCCCTACCAAACTAAGTAATTCCTTATAAGAAATCCTATCCAAATTCACACCCCTAGATACCCCCTCTATCGCGTGTCCCCCAAATTGGAATTTTATAGTTTAACCTATAATAATACTTCTTCCAGACACGTAATAAAGCGTTTCTTAAAATATGAGATTTAAAAACCTGATCTACTTTTTTATTATAAATTAAATATGCATGCCATCCATATAATAAATCCCATCCCTCAAGAAGGAGTATATTTTTATTTGTTAAGTTAAGCCAATCACTAATCAATGTTAAAGCCACCGCATCATAATACAATTTTAAATTAGGTGCCTTAAGTCCTCCTCTTTCCCATGCATCTTGTATAATCTTAAACTTAACTCTTGGTTTTTTCCCTGCCCAAATAAACTTGTTAATACCCTTCTGCCATTCCTCCAAGTTGGCATCTTTTTTCAAAATAGATATCATTTGAAACAAAAAAAGAAACTTTGGAAGAACATTCATTTTAACCACTGAGATTCTCCCCAGCAAAGATAACTGTAGTTTTTTCCAATCATTTAAATCCTTTTGCACTTTTACCCATAATGTCTCATAATTATTTTTGTACAATTTAACATTAGAAGCTGTAATGTATACTCCCAAATATTTAACCTTTTTCACTATTTCAAAACCTGTTAATTTAGCTAACATATCCTTTTCCTTCATAGACATATTTTTCGGTAGTATTTTAGTCTTAATGTTATTTACCTTAAAACCAGAGACTTTCCCATACTGGGTTATGATTCCCACCAAATCCCTTACTGAATCTATCAGTTGAGATAATGTCACAACCAAATCATCGGCAAAAGCTCTCAACTTATAATCATTCTTATTTATTTTTATTCCCTTTATTGTAGGTGATTCACGAATTTTAATAAGTAAAATCTCCATTGTTAAAACAAATAACAATGGGGATAATGGACATCTTTGTCTTGTACCCTTTTCAATTTTAAATGCTTCTGTTAATCCCCCATTAATTATAATTTGTGCCAATTGTTGATATATAGCCTTAAGAGCATACAAAAATTTATCCCTAAAATTCATTTTCTCTACAACTCTCAATAAAAATTGCCAATTTAACTGATCAAAAGCTTTTTCAGCATCCAAAAATATCAAAGCCGCAGGGATTTGATTGTTCTTGTCCAAATACTCAATTAGGTTAACAATTTGTCTTACATTATATTTCATATATCTCCCAATTATAAATCTAGATTGATCACTATGGATCAATTGCTTCAAAACATGCATTAATCTATTTGCCAATATTTTTGAAAAAATCTTATAATCTGTATTCAAAAGAGATATAGGTCTATAATTCTTAGGCTGGGTAAGATCTTGATCCTCCTTTGGGATCAACAATATAAAAGCCCTTCTCCAAGATGGAGGTACCTCTGCTCCCAACAAAATATTATTAAAAAGTTCCTTTAATAGTTCTATCATTTCTTCAGATAACATTTTATAATAGATTGCTGTTAATCCATCTGTACCAGGAGCCTTACCAACCTTTAACTGTTTAATCACCCAAATAATTTCCTCAGAAGTAATTAAACCAGTGGTTCTCAACCTGTGGGTCGGGACCCCATTTGGGGTCGAACAACCATTTCATGGGGGTCGCCAAACAATGCAGTCCGCCATTTTTCCCCTTTTCCTTAGCTGTGCTACTCCCTTTTATTCTATTGGCTTTTGAAAGCCAATAGAATAGACTCTCTTGAATAGAGTCTAATTCTATTGGCTTTCAAAAGCCAATAGGAATTGTCCAGGCTGTCTCTGCCCTGCTGAGCCCGCCAAAAGTCCCATTCTGCAAACGGTGCTGCACCAGTTGAGTAGTCCTCGACTTACAGCCGGTTGAGTTGTCTTCAACTTATGACCGGTTGGGGGTCGCAACATTAAAAAGGTTGAGAACCACTGAATTAAACAATTCATCTCATCTCATTGATCATTTGAAAGTCTAGGAAAATGTGCTGCCTATAGATACTTTTCTATATCTGAAACTTGTATGCTTTCACTAGCATATAACTTTGAATAAAAATCTAAAAAACTCCTTTTAATCACATTTTGTTGATAAACCTCTTTACCTTTATAATCTATTTTCTCTATAATCCTTGACTTCTGTTTCTTCTGTAATTGATAAGCCAACCACCTACCAGGCTTATTTGCATTACAAAATGTATTATGTTTCATGTAACTTAAATTAATTGCAGTCTGATCAGCCATTAACATGTTAAATTGATCCTTAAGCATATTTATAGAAACCTTTAACCTATTATCCAATGGACTCAAAATAAAAGCCTTCTCTTTCACTTTGATCTCTTCTTCCAACTCTTCACATTTTTTCATCTGTTTGTGCCTATGCGCATTATTCATGTGGATCAAAACCCCTCTCATATAAGCTTTGCTAGCATCCCAAACCATAGCCATTGAGGTACCCTTATGCATATTCAAAACAAAAAATTTCTTCAAATATTCTCTACATTTCTGCGAAATCCCCTCATATCTAAATAAGTTCTCATTCAACCTCCAAGATCTTCTATTTCCTTCTTCAGCAAATAACTCCAACCATACAGGACTGTGATCTGACAATGTCCTAGGAAAAATCTTGACATTCTTGACCCTAGAAAAGAGATCAGTAGTAATTAAAAAAAATCAATTCTAGAAAATGATTGATGCCTATCCGAAATAAAAGTAAAATCTCTGTCCTCCATGTTCTGTTCTCTCCAAATATCTCTGAGTTCCAAATCATCCTTCAAATAAAAAAAAAAACTTTAGGTAATTTAGAGTGATTGGAAGATTTAGAAAATTCTTTCTTGTCCTTACTTGCATCTATAACTCCATTCCAATCACCCATCATAATAACAGATTTATAATCCAGTTGAATTAGTTTCTGATGTATCAACTTATAAAATGTTTTTGTTGTTGATTAGGGGCGTATAGTCCAATGATAAGAAATCTCTTACCATATAATAATAGATCAATAATAACACATCTTCTTTGTGCATCAGAATCAATTAATTTTGCCGATAAATCTTTCCTCATGTAGATAACTACATCCCCTTTTTTTCTGGAGCAGAGGCTATAAAATGTAATTCCAACCGGGAGTTAATCAAATACTTTTGGTCCTTTGAAGTAATATGAGTCTCTTGCAAACATACAACATCATTCTTATGTTGTTTCAAATAGTGAAATACTTTCTTTCTTTTCTGTGGTGAATTCAGACCAATAACATTCCATGTCAGAAACTTTGCCATTTTTAGTGGCCTGAAGCCTCTGGAACACTGTTTGATGATCAGCTGTCGATGAACTCTTTGGTCTTGTCCCTCCCACAGGCTCTGAAGTAGTCAAGTGTGTTGTAGATCCAACATCCACTTTTTGCTGTTCTTTTTCTTTACATCTATGAGCTGCACGAGTCATTCTCTGTTCCTTTGGATCATCTTTTGTCTCCAAACACTGTTGCATAGATTCAGTCTGCAAATCTCCTACAACTAATGACATTGCACCTTCAACCAGCTGTTCTTCCAGCTTTTCTTCAAGTCTCTTAGATCGTGGAAATGGTGGTGAGCCTGCCTTCAGGACAGAGGTATAAAAATCTCTCACTTTTAAAATTGTATTAAGTTCATAAGGTGTCCCAGCATAGTTCACCACTATTCCAACAGGTAACTCCCATCTGAACTGAACCTGTCATTTTTAAAGCTCCTCAGCCAAAAAAGCAAAGTCCTTTCTTTTTCTAAGAATTTTTGGAGGTATTTCTTTTAAAATTATAACATCTTGAGCTGCAATTTGAAATCTCTGCTTATAAAAAGCCTGTGTAATTTCATTACGAAATGATCTTCTGGAAAAATAAATAACCACATCTCTTGGTAAATTTCTCACAAATCTCACAATCCATGAATTAACCCTAAAAATTTTATCTCTCTCTCTCAAAATTTCTTCAGGTTCACATCCCAAAATGGAAGCTAAATCTGCTGCTATTTCCTCTCTCAGATTCTCTTGCAAATTCTCCTTCAGCCCTCTTATTTGCAAAGCAAATTCCATGTCTCTATATTATGACATAATAATTTCATCCTGTGTTCTATCAACCTTATTTTCAACTTTACCAACTCTATCTTCTAATCTTTCAGCATTTTCCACCACATCATCCACACGCTCATCTAGACGCTCTATATGGGCTGCTAACTCTTGAAGTGCAAGCACTATGTCCTCCCTCATCTCCCTACTTTTATCCTCAAAAAGCTCTGCCATCTCTTCTTTAATCTGTCGTGCTGTTTTTCCCAAAGCATCCTGTATATCTTCAAGTGTAAATGCTGGTAGTGGGGGAGAAGGTGGGGGAGACTTAGGCTTGGTTTGCTGTACAGTCTGAGTTACCGGAGAGGAAATTGAGCCTTTAGGAAGAACGGAAATTCTGAGGCATTTTGAAGCCATTTTCAAACTGTTTAGAACCACCTCTTATAAGTCTTGTATGATCTTATAAAACCAACAATTACAAAAAAAAGGAAAAAAAGAAGAGAGGGGATGGTAAAAACAAATCACCCCCCAAATAAGAAAAGAAGCTTGCTTTTTAAATGAGCAACCAAAATCCATTACATTGTTTAAACTTTGTTGCCAAGTAAAAGTCTTTCTTAATAATGTCCTTTCAGACAAAGAAACAGCATTCCTGTGCCATTTTTCTCTTCCTTTTATTAAAATTAATAGGTGGAGAAGATTCTTTAATTATTTCCTGAGTTAAAGTCCCAAATTCTCACAATTCTGATCCCTCCATCTGCTTTTAATTTTGCTCACAGATCTCTCTAAAATGCAGATGTGGAAACAGCTTCTAACTTTGTTCCTGAAAACAAAGGTGTCCTGGGGTGCGGAGAAAACCTCGGACTCCGAGGGAGTTCTCACCCTTCGACCTCCAAAAAAAAAAAAAAGATTTATGGAGGTCCTGGGGAACTCAACCTCTATCCGGGAAAACTCACCTCCTCCCCTTCTCCCGGGGAGAGAGGCTCCAAGCTGCGAAACAGCTGCTGTTCGCCGTCTCTGCAGGTTTTAACACATTCCCAGGGCAGACGGCTAAAGAAAAGCTGCCATTGGCGCGGCGATCGCCACCAGAAGTTCAAGGACTTAATGAATTCTATTTTACATAGAAACCCAGTGCTGGATTCATGGAAGAATGCCTACATCTCTTTAATAGCTAAAGAAGGACTGGACTTAATCTCTGTGAAGAATTATAGGCCAATTTCTCTTCTTAAAAATGACTACAATATTTTCACATCTATCTTAGTTGGATGACTTAAGTTTTATAGGATTATATACATGAAGACCAGTATGGTTTCTTTTACCCAAAAGACAACTAAAAGATAATATAAGAGTAATCTTGGATATAACTGAACATTTGCATCAATGTAGCAACAAACAGGTCATATTAATTTTTGTAGATGTAGCAAAAGCATTTGATAATTTGGACTTTATGTGGTGGAAAGGATGGATTTTGGTTTGGGTTTTATACAGAGTTTGAAGTCCATTTATACATTCCAGAAAGTTCAGATTATGGTAAATTTGTTTATTCTGGAACTGTTCAGATTATGGTAAATTTGTTTATTTGGAACTATTAAATAGGAATATTAGACAAGACAACAGGGCAAAGGGATTAGAAATTAAAGCACACAATTATAAACTTCATGCTTTTGCTGGTTGGAGGGGGTTGGGTTTCAAAGTGGGAAGAATAGCTTGGTGCTTTGCACGGGAATGTTACATTTCACTTGACTGTACTGCAACCACTGTTTTTTAGTAAAAGTCTTTTTGATTAACCACATTGTATTAAGAATCATGAGAGAGCCAGTTGTTTTTCTGCAATTCTAACTATCTGTTGAAGATTATATGTCTTGTTTGGTTGCAGTGCCAAACCAGACAGTTAGAGATGCAAATAACAGACTCAACAATTCTTTTATAGAACTGTATCAGCAGCTCCTTGGACAGTCTGAGCTTTCTGAGTTGGCACAGAAAGAAAATTCTCTGCTGTGCTTTTTTTATTGAAAAAGTTTTATTGACAATTAACAAAAAAAATTTTAAACCCACAAGGCCACCCACCCCCACCCCCAACCCCCTCCTACTTCCCAGAGCCGAGTACAGGGTTATAACAAACATATTAAACAAAATCTAATTAAATTTAACAAATTATACAATAACTAAATTCATACTTAACCCTTAACTCCCTTTAAACCTTAATATCATAATATTATAAAACAATTATTATAAAGAACCATAATAACAGTAAATAACTAAATAATTTCCATTATAAAATGCTATTAACAATAATTATTATTTAAAATTTAATCATAGAATAAATGGAACTTTTTAGTTCCATATTTAATCTGAATATAATCTATCCATCTTCTCCATACCATAATATATCTTTCTTGTGTATGATCCTTTAAATAAGCAGAAATTTTAGCCATTTCTGCTAAATTAGAAACTTTAAGTGTCCATTCTTCTATAGTAGGCAACGAATCTTTCTTCCAATATTGACCTATCAATAGCCTTGCTGCTGTTACTAGATTCAACATTCTGTATAAAGAATTACTTATTTGATCGGGTACTGACTGGCAATTAAAATCTTTAGACATATTAAGGCAAGAAAATATTTTACAGTCATAGTTTCAGTATTTACAAATAGTGGATAGGTGGACTTTAGATAAAAAAGTAGGAATAACATTAGGAGATGAAAATTTGGTAATTCAGATTAAAGATAAGAGTCAGGCTCATATAAAAAGCATTTATAATGTATTAATAGAATTGGATTCGGAAACGGAATTGGTTAAAGATTGTATGGTTAAATGGGCTCAGAATATCCAGGAACCGATTCCATTGGATTTATGGGAGATAATTTGGATTAGAAATGTTAAATTTACACAGGCTCAAAATTTAAGGGAAAATTTTTACAAAATGTTTTATAGGTGGCATTTGGATCCTAAAAAGTTGTCTTGTATGTATCCTAATTTACAGCCTAAATGTTGGAGATGCGGTAGTTCTGATGCAACTTATTTTCATGTTTGGTGGACTTGTAAAAATATTAAGGCTTTTTGGATTATGATTTGGTGGAACATTCAAAAGATTTTTAAAAAGAAGATAAAGTTTACTCCTCAACTATTCTTACTAGGGATTTTTGAGGATTTTGATGTTAAAGAAACTATTTTAATGTTGAATCTGCTGTGCTTTTTTGATAACATTTTTGATGTTAGGTGTCCATTTTAAGTCATGAGATATTATAGAACCTAGAAACTTAAAGGTCTCAACTGTTGATACTGTGTTGTCTAGTATTGTAAGAGGTGGTAGAATAGGAGAATTTTTCCTAAATTCTACTACCATTTCTACAGTTTTGAGTGTGTTCAGTTCAAGTTTGTTCCGGCCATACCACAAGGCTAGTTGTTCAACCTCCCATCAGTGTCAGGACCCCTTCATAATCATATTTCAGGGCCCTGCCATTCTGATAGCAGGTGGGAGATTTCGCTCTGTTGGGAGGAAGACTCATGGATGTATTTCCTTTACTTTGTTCTCTCTACCTTTTGATGTATTGCTTTGGGTGTGAAGAGGGGGAGGAATGTGTCAGGAACCATCTGCCTTATCTCCAAGCCGTTGTAAAAAGAAGACACAGCACATGGAAACTGTCCCTTATCATTTTGGTTCACATAACAACTTCACACCTGTGGATTGGCTGGAAGACTGCTAGACAGTCGGACACTGGGGGAGGGGTTTGTGAAAGGAAACTTTAATATAGCGATTTACGTGGGAATTCCTCAGATCTTGCTTTGCCTTTCTGTTTTCACTGACTCTCAATAAAAGTTCCTGTTTGGAACAATGCCTGTTTCAAGAGTTCTGCTTTCTTGGGAGTACTAGCTGAGGCAGACCTTACAGTCAGTATGCAGATTTATCATTGTTTCAAATGATACCAATTACTGTTGTATCATCTGCAAACTTCAGTATTTTAACAAATGGGATCCTCTGAGATACATTTGTTGGTATATAGAGAGAAGTGGAGAGAGCACGCAGCCCTCGGGGTCCTATGTGCTAATTGTACAGGTATCTAATGTGATTTTGAGTAGCTTCACCTGTGGCTTCCTGCCTGTTAGAAAGCTTATGATCCACTTACAAATGTGGTCAGGCACAGCTAGCTGAATTAGTTTAGTTAGAAGAATATTTGGAATGATGGTACCGAATGCTGAGCTGAAGTCTACAGAAAGGATGTAGTGTAGAGCCATATTAACAACATCATCTGTCAATCTATTTGCTTGGTAGGCCAGCACCAACCTTTCAAAAGTTTTCATAACTACGGATGTCATAGCAACTAGTCTGTAGTCATTCAATTCTTTCATGGAGGATTTCTTTGGCATTGGAGATGATAGTAGAGTGTTTGAAGCAAGAAAGAACATAACAAATCTCTAGTGATTTATTAAATATGCAAGTGAAGATGGGGGTCAGTTGGTTAGCACAAGATTTCAAGCAAGAAGGAGTTATCTTGTCTGGGCCTGGTGCTTTTCCAGGCTTTTTTCTGTGAAATAGATCTTGCACATTATTTTCTGTGATCACCGGGGGGGGGGGGAATGTCCAAAGGAATGGGTCAGTTGCGGAACGTTTGGCTGTTGTTGGTGCATCTGAAATGGAGATGGTGGTGATAGGTGACAGTGGTTTCTGCTCAAATCTACAGTAAAACACATTCAGATCATCTGCCAGTTGTCAATCAGAATAGAACTGGAAGGGACCTTGGAGTTCTTCTAGTTCAGCCCCCTGCTCAAGTAGGAGTCACTATGTCATTTCAGACAAGTGGTTGTCCAGTTTCTTTTTAAAAACCCTGAGTGATGAAGCACCCACAACGTCTGAAGGCAAGCTGTTCCACTGGTTAATTGTCCTCACTGTTAGGAAATTTCTCCTTAATTCTAGGTTGCTTCTCTCCTTAATTAGTTTCCATCCATTGTTTCTTGTCTTGCCTTCTGGTGTTTTGGAAAATAAATTGACCCCCTCATCCTTGTGGCAGCCTCTCAAATACTAGAATACTGCTATCATGTCCCCACTAGTCCTTCTTTTCCCTAGATTGGCCATTCCCAAATCCTGCAACCATTCTTCATATGTTTAAGTCTCCAGGCCTTTAATCATCTTAGTTGCTCTTCTTTGCATTTTTTCCAAACTCTCAGCATCTTTTTTGTATTGCGGTGACCAAAACTGGATGCAGTATTCCAGATGTGGAATTCCCTTCAGCAAGGAAAAGAGGTTTGCTGTAACTTGTGATATTTTTAAGAGTTTTCCACATATTTGCTGGTTTATTTGTTGAGAGTTGATTCCTTAGCTTTCAGAGTAGCTTCTTTTTGCTGCTCTGATCTCCCCTTTTTTTTTACATTTTTTCTGGCCTTATTATACAGCATTCTATCTCTTTTTCTATAGGCTTCTTC